GTAAAAATATAGTATAGGGTGATATGAAACTTACTTGATAAATCACTAGTCAAAGCTGATTTTCAAACTTTTAAAATTCGAAGCCCTAACATAGAAGTCCTCTTCTCCCTCTCTCTCATGCGTTTCCTCTATTCCACTAGCTGAGCACATCAGCCTTTATCCAAATTATGTGCTATATGCCATGGTGTGTGGCATAGTAAGACACCCCCTCATGCTACTTGCGCACTTCATCCTGAATCGACATTACATTACTCGATCCTATAAACATACCATCCAATCAACACCAAATATCAATTCGTCATCCAAAACCATATTAATTCACTAATTACTAAATTACCCCTAGTTAGCAATTAGCTTCTTAGATTAAAAGTTGAGGACATTACACATGACACACACATTGCAACATCTGGCACAAAGACATTCTTCTTTGTTTTCCCCCCTTTTTGAAGTCCAAGTGACCCAATTTTACTTTAAACTCAAATCTATCACTGAAACCAAACTAAAGACACTCATTAAGCATCTCTAACCACATCGCACACTAATTTTTTTTCCTTAAATTACCCTTGATTAGTCTAATTATAGAAGGTTAATTTTTAGGATGTTAAAGTTTGTATGTTGAATTGTAAGTGGTTACTAGGTTCTAATCATTATCACCTAACCTTAATGGTAATTGAAACACTTTCTCACAATAATTTAGGAAGGCAATTGAATCTAAACAAGGTAAGGAAGAATAAGGATAGAAATAGTGGATTCTAATCTTGGGAAGCTACTTTGATACTTGATTGAATGCTTAGACTTTTTCCTTTGCTCATTTCACATTAAAATTGAACATAAACATCTATTTTCTCTCTCAAACTCTTGAACTCTGATATGCAATTTTAACTTGTCTTGATCATTATATTGGTTTGAATTGGTTGCAAATGATTTCTCCTTGAAGATAGAATGACTTAGGGTGCTAACATTTCTACACCTTAGTTTCTTTGAAAAGCTTTATATGACTTAGGGCTTTTCAGCCATGTATTTGCTTCTCCTACTTGATTCTATCAAAGTAATCTAATTAATCACTAAAAGCTCCTCAAATTTTTTTTTTACGCATTAATACTTGGCGGAAGGAGAGAAATGGAAGTAGAAGAAGAGGCACATTTGGCCACTTGGATATATCTATTTTTTTAATTGTCATGTGGCTGCTAACTATAGTGAAAGTAAAAATTAACTAACAGTCAACTCTGATGGTAGGGCAATATTTCACTCTTTTTTAAAGTTGAGGGACAATATTGCTAAAAAAAATTTAGAACAACAAGTATCAATGGTCCAAAGCATTTTTTCTCTTCAACCCTCTATTATATGGTATCTAGTTTTATCTTAAATTTTCCTTCTATTACATTTGAGTTTGTTGTTCTTCTTTTTAATTTAATTTTCAATATCCTTGTTTTACTTTATGAAAATTCTGATTATTTTTTATTTCATTATCTTTATTTCTCAAGATTCATATACCCATAAGTTTCATATCTAATTATTTTTTAAATGACTCTTTTTAGTAATGGGAGCTTTGCCTCTTGGACTGACGTTTCGTTCTTCCATCTTATGTATATCTATAGTGTTAAAATTTTATTACTTAAACTACATATATGAAAGTAGTTTTAAAATGTTTTCCAGGGTTCTTATTAGAAAAAGGCAAGGAAAAAAAGTTGGTAAAAAAACATAAGTTTTTCTATTAATAAAACACAGCTTTTTTTAATAGTAGAATGTTTAATTGGGTTGTGTCTCAGGGCTTGACCAGGGCCAAGGTATGTTTCTAGGCTCAAAAAAAAATTTATAAAGATACTTTTAGATTGTCCACTAATAATATCCTCACATCAACAATAAGATTTAAACCCATGATCTTATGGGTTATGCACAAAATCCTTACTAACTAGACTAACCTTTTTTTATTTAAAAAAAAAAAACAATGCTGGTAATGTTGCTTTACTACCCTCTCTATTTTCACTATTGGTTACAACAACAAAAAATATAAATTAATTTGTACAGTTGTTTGGACTTTAAATTTGAAAATAACACAAACTTTAATAATTTAAATTAATTGATCAAAAAATAATTGACAATAATGTTGAAATAAATTAATGATAATAAAACTATAATACATGTGGTAAAATGAAAACTATATTTAAGGTGTATTCGGGCTACTTGCATTGTTTATTACTCAAAACTCAACCAGTCAGGTATAGACATTTTAAATTTTTTACTTGACAATGATAATTTCTCTTCATTTACTCTTTGCATCAACTAATCTTGAGAGTTATTTTGCTTGATGTTTCAAGGGTTCTCTTTATTTCATATATACTTTTTTTGTGAATATATATATATATATATATAGAACTAATACTACTACAAAAAAGTCCTGTAGGAGCACCTGTTTTGAAGAGTTTGTAAAAAAAAAATGATTCTAAAAATGCATGCAGAACATATAAGGGTACTTTTTTGAATAAGCGTTCTTAAAAAGAAAACCTTCAAAAGCACTTATAAACAAAAGTGCTCCAAAAAAATAGCTGTTAAATTATGTAAATAAAAGCACATTTATCTACAGGAGCGCTTTTATGTCTTGTTTGGGTCATCAAGTTTAAATCATCTTCTTCCGTGCATTTTTCCTAAGTCTTGTAATATTTATTGTTCCAAACTATGAAACTGATGCAGATTGCAATTCACTATGCTGGGATTTTTTTTTTATTTTTCCCATAGAATGGTGGTGTTAGATATCTAACTCTACAAGTCATCTTGCAAAGCACATCATAAAGGTTAATGAAAATTATTTTGGAGCCTACAGTTCATTTGGCATTTATCATGAGATGATAAGTGATAAGGTTAATTAGTTGTAGTTCTTTTTCTTTGGCTTCTTGTTTAAACAATTTTTTTTGTATTGACAATGAATATCGGCACATCTAGTCCGTACCAATTGGTTATCCATTTTAAGAATTAACTTACAAATATTATAGAAATAATTTAATTTAATTATTAACTTATAAATATTACCAATTGACACATCTAGTCATTTTGATATTAAATCTATACACAATGACATAAATATCAGTGCATTTATTTGTCTTTGAAATAGAAGGGATATTTTTTGGCTCATGATAAATTGTTGATGATGCTAACCTCCATAAGTCAATGATGTTAGCATTCTCCCCTCTCTCCCCCTGCCTCTCTTTATATATAATCACCTCTTGTTTTATTGTTTAAATTGTGCTGTGATAGTGTCTACCTATGCTACATAGCATATAATTGTTTTCTACGAGTTCAACATACATTTCTCTATTTTACCACCAAGCACGTGATCTCTACATGTGATGTAGTGATTAAGGATTTAAAGTTGAAGGCAGGGCCACTAAATTCGCTAGAACTTCCTGTTACTGTCAAAGCTAGCTTTGTGGGTACAATTACATTGAAGGTAGCATTTGCCATTACCTTGTTTCTTTAGCACACATTTATAAACTATGCATCTTTGTACATTTTGATTGAGACAACATATAACTACATAGTTACTACTTACTTACAGTCTAGTTAATGTGACTATATACTTATAAGAAGGCCAAAGTACTACTGGCATTTGTACACAGCGCACACATGGTTATTTATAGTTTTGATGTAATGCTTTTCTGGTATTATTCTGAATTTTTTTCAGCCTACAATCTATCTATACACACATGGTCTTTGTAGAATGTTTTAAGAGGATCTTAAGAGGTAGTGCTCTTTTTTTGTCTATCTTTTCTGAATTTGTACTGAACTTCTTTGTTGCATAACCCTCCTGTTCGGAACTTTTGTCATTTTAGGAGGATGATTTTGCTTGCTATCTTCATTTTGCTAGGAATCTTAATGATAGAAAATCTCATGAACTCGAGGCTCATCCACTTCTTGAGCCCGTTCATCTTTCTTCCTCTATAGATATTTGATTTGGTGTTTATTCTTGCATGATTTGTTTGATTAATATCTAACTCGTCCATTATTTTTGGATTCTGTTTGGCCTTTGTTTCTTTTCACATTGCATTGGGTAACATATCATCATTTCTCTATTTTTCCATTCCCATGATTTGTAAATTTTCTTATTTTTAACTCTTTAAATAATACAGGCAGGAGTTATCTTTTTTAAATTCTCATTGAACTAATTCCTTTTGTTGATACATATTATAAATACCGCTGTTTGTCTTGAAAAATTAGTTTACATTCATAACCTGAATTTTTTATGCTATTGCTTTTTGACTTTTAATCTAAATTATCTCTTGTAGGAAGCAGAATCAGATATGCTTGATGCAATATCTAAGTCGAAGTTGGGAAGTGTATGAACACAATATAACCTGGCTATTACTTTTGCAGTTCATTGAGTTGCATTATTTTACTTACAAGTATGTTAAAGTAATCTATACATGTCCTATCATACCTTCTTAGATTATTTTATTTCCTTAGCATCCTACTTTCTTTTTTTCTTTATTTTTCGTCACTTGCTTTGATGGGATATCTTATTCTCCTGGCTCTGTAACTTTCACTTAGAATTAATTACTTTCTTGTGAACAGAAAATTCTTTTGAAAATACATTGGTAAAGTGCCTTTTGTGTTTAGGCCAGTGTAACATCCCAATTTAAATTTTAATATTTAATTTGGGTTAATAAAAATTTTGAAAAGTATTATTAAATTATTATTATAAAAAAAGGTATGAAAAAAAAAAAAAAAAATAAAAAATAAAAAAAATAAAAAAATAATAATAATAAATAAAAAAATAAATATTATTAAATTATTATTATTATAATAATAAAAAGAAAGAAAGGAAAAGAAAGGAAGAAGAAGAAGAAAGCGAATTTGCTTCGTCCGCCGCCTCAACAGTAACAATAATAAAATAATAATAAAAAGAAAAGAAGAAGAAGAGAGAGAAAATAATTAAAAAAATGTGGGACCCACTGAATTTTTATAAAAACTCACCTGTTCCTTCATTTCTTCATTCCTTCTTTCGTGCGTGAGCTTCGGCAGAGAGAGCATCTGTGAGCCAAATTCACCGGTGCTGGGTTTTAAGGTAAGAGTTTTTAATAGGATATTTAGGATGTGATTTTAAGCTTTTCAAGACTAAGTAAGTGTTCTAAAATTTTTTCTTAGTCATCCTTTTTCTTTGTTTCTGAGTTTGTAGTGGTAGAAAATTTAAGATCTGGAAGAGGGATGAATTTATGTTGAATAAATATGGTTTTTGAGGTTGTTAGTAGTATAATAAATATTCTAGAGTATAAATTTATTGGTGATCTTTGAATTTGTGGCTTATGGATCAAATTCTAGACTAGATCTGAAAATATATGTTGATTTATTGAGGTTTAGATGATTATTTGGGATGAGAAATGAATTATTATGGCTATAGGATTATGATTCTAAGCTAGAGACTCAATTTTTAATTTTTGAATATTTTAGGTGCGAATTTATAAAATAAAAAGAAAATTTTGATAATAGAAATTAGTTTAGAAGTTGATTTTTAGATTATTAATGTTTATTGATAATTAAAAGAGGAGTTAAAAATTTTACTTAATAGTATTAACTATAGATTTGTATTAAGATTGAAATTAGGAATTATGTTATATTTTAATTCTATTATTAGAATTATTTTATTAGTTTCAAAATTGAAACTAATATTTATAAATAATATGTTATTTGTAGATTGTATTACTGGTGAAGATTGTGGTGAGAGAGAAATTTTAAGGAATAATTTATTGAAAAAGCCACAAGGTAACCATGCTTTTAATTTGTGATTAGTGTTACTTCATGTTAATTGGGTGATTATTGAGAAAATTATGAATTTTGTAATATTGTATAATTGTGCAATATTATTATGAATTTGTTTAATTATTGTGGGAGGTGTTGGGAGACTTGCTATTGTTATTGTATTTATGTGCCACGTGGTACGCCCCTATTGGAGCTCAATAGGTGGTTTGTAAGGGCTCGGGCTAATCTACCTTTGGCCGGGTAATTTAGCACCGAGTGAGGGCTAAGGCTCGAGGTTAATGGAGGGATATAAGGATGGTTGTTTGTGTTTATTATAATATTTTTTATATTTGTTAGAATTATATTATTTTTAATTCTCACTTAGTAAGCACACACTTAACTGTTTGTATACACTATCATAAATTGGCTTTGGTTATTGGGACTTTTGAGTCTCATTATGTGGTTAACAATTTTCAGGAGAAGAGCCACGAGTGACACGTGGAGGAGTCCCAGAGGCTTAGTGGTATAGATCCACTGTCTCTTTTGGGTATTTAATTTATGATTTATAATGTGTTATATTGCCAATATTAGGGCTTTTTGTTTATTGTCAATTATATGAATATATAAATGTAATCATGTCTTTCAAACTATTTCTATTTTTGGTACAATTTGGATGACTGTAATTTTAATATTTGGTTTACTTTGGATTGGTTAAAATGGCATGATTATAAGGCCAAATAACTGGCTTGTGTTGAAAATTGACTAAATTGTTTATTTTACTTGTTGGGAGTATAAGGATGGACAAATGTGATTTAGTTTACTTGTTGGGAGTATAAGGATGGACAAATGTGATTTAGCCTAATGGCATGTGGGAGGTAAAAATTTATCTGAAATGTTATAGTGTGTGAGTTGAAGCCAATTATAAAATATTTTATATCGAAATTATTGATATAAAAATGTGTTGGGTGGCTGTAACCCAACTATGGTTGAGTTAAATTATTTAAAAAAAAATTTGGTGTGTTACAGCCAGTATAACCTAAGTCTTTGAGATTTAATTTTAAAGTTTAGTAGTGAAAAAGAGGCTAATTTTTCAAGCTATACCTAGGGCCCAAAAATTTAAATGTTAAAAAAAATTAAAACAACATACAAGAGCACTAAAAAATGAAGTGCTCTCAAAGGCATACATACAGAAGCGCTCTTTCGTAGAGCGCTCCTATAAGCTGCCATATGGGAGCGCTTTGTGCATGCCCCTATATTCGGATATACAAAGAGCACTCCCGTATGCCCATATATTTAGATATATGGGAGCACTTTTATAAAAGCACTCCTGTAGGGCACCCCTATAGGAGTGCTTTATATAGCGCTCTTGTATACAGGAGCACTTTTAAAGCATTCTTGTAGGTTAAAAATAAGTGGTCTTATTGTGTTATTTTGTAGTAGTTTGATAACGAGATGGAAACGGACTAAGAATTACAGCTACCATGTAGAAGACTATCAAAGAGGAAAGGAAATAGTATATTAAATTGTTGAAGTCTCTTATAGATGGTTTGAGAAGATCTCGTCATTTTTAGTTGTTGGCACACTGATAAGGAGACTTCATTTTAGTTGCAGAATCTGAAGTCTTAAGTACTTTTTCGCTAGAAAAATATCTGGACAGGTGTTTTGTAGACCCAAGGTAATTAAATGAATATCTCTTCTTTGTTGCCAATGTCTCATTTATCATGAGATAATACTCTTTTTCTATTTAATTTTATCTATTATGGGTTATTCTTTATTTCCTTGCGTCCACATTGCAAATGAAAGCTTACAAGATAAATCAATGTTTACTAACTGTATTTGTGCAGTTTTCTTATAGTATTCCTTTTACTTTTGTGGCTTATGTACCTTGTTCACAAATTTTTCTGCATATTTCGTGAATAGGGAGTGTTTGGTTAATTATGAATTATAGGTGATGAGTTATTCACTCTTGGTGGCTCAGGCCCAATATAAACCTATGGGGCTTTATAATAATAGTGAAAAAGTATGACTCTCAATGTGTGATATATTTTGGGCCAATTAGTCCAATTTTCCCTTTCCTATTTGAAAGTGAGAGGGAACAGTTTTCTTATACCTATGCACATCCATGTAAATGGGAGCATGCGTGGGTTAAAGGAAGATGAGGAAAACTGATTTCAGTGAGGTTCTCTGAATATCTAGAACATTCTCTAAACTTCAACCTTCTTCCTCTCTTTCCTTCTTCTATGCATTATTTGTTGTGAACACGAATCAAGTTCTATAGAGTAACACCATTTTAGCATACATCCTCACAACTAGTGTAACTCACAAGGTACATTTTCGAACTCCATATACATACATTGGTATTAGAGCCAAGTTGAATCCTAGGCTGTGTTTCTGCATTTGAAGACAAGATGAATTGCTTACATTATGCCATGCAAATCTCATCTACTATATGCATTAATTTTTATCTCTATTTGATTCTATATTTTGTGATATGAACATGTTGCATGATGTCTTGGGTCATAAATGAGTAGAATAAACCTCTGAAAGTCTATACACATTGGCTTTAAACTCTGTGCATGAGATATACTACCAAAAACTCCAAAACATTAAAGAAAATTGAAACTTGGGTCTTCAAATTAAAAAGGGGGTTTTTTGGACAAAATGAAGACCATAGTAAACATGTAAGGCACAAAAAATGAAGAAAACAACACCAAGAATATACAAAACGAATGTTGGACAAGGAAATGTGGCTCTTCAAACTTTTGGGCTTGACAGAGAATTGGGTCAACTTGACGTAGTTGGAGCAAGATGACAATGTAAATGACACACCATTTTCATCTTTGTTAAAATGACTGTCATTTGACACCAAAAACTAAAAAAAAAAATGGTTGCTATAAAAAAATGAATTAATCTGGTTTGGACCAATTGAGAGAGGCCCATCTCTAATTAAAAAGACAATGCTTTGGGTCTAAAAAAGTTTGGGTTGAAAAAAGGTAAACCTAAGGTGGGGAAAGGAAAACAATTTGGGTCAATAAAATTAGATTGGGTCAAACCAAGTCTATGACTCAGTCAACTATATAAATAAAAACAATAAATATAAAAAAAGAGAAAATATGCCTAGTGGAGAATGGGACCCACTGGGAGATCTAATGGACAAGTGGAACACACCAATCGAGAGGTCTCGGCACATGGAGTCTAGAGAAGCAGTGCATGTTGTTGCCTAAGCTCTCTACGGTGGGGTGTGGCTGTCACTCTCTATCAGCGAGAGTGGGCTTTGTTGGAAATTTTTAATTTTTCTAGAATTTTTTATTTTCACTTGTTCTAAGAGCTTGTGGAGCATTCAATTGAGACACAATTTGTTCTTAAAAATTTCTAAACTCAATATCTACATTTTGATATGTAAATTGCCTATTTTTAGGCATTTTTAGATCAATAAATGAGGCTTTTAGTGCTTTTGTGAGTGATTTTTAAGTATTTAAAAATCATAAAAATGATTATAATTATTCAAACTAATTGTGAGTTGCCAAAAGCACTGAAATGTTGGAGGAAGTCTCTCGAAGACATATATCTGGAAAAAAAAATTTACTTCAAAACGTGATCCTTTGAGTGCAATTATGAAATAAAACCTTTACAACCATAAGTACCACTTGATGAGGATCAAGAAAGTGATCCAGGAATTGACTCAAATTAAAATTGATGTTGATCCTAACCAAACTTGAGCCAAATTTTAATGAAAGTGAAATATTTTCAATGAAACGATAATTGTAAAAGTACATTAAATATAAATTTTCACAATTAATCTTGAAGGATCTTCTCTAACATGGAAAAGGGCAAGAGAACATATGAACAACCATGAAGAAAGCCCTTATAGTAGAACATAAATTAATTCCTCTAAATCACTTCTTAGGTGAAGTGTTGATGTTTTATTTGAGTTCAATTAAAAGAGGAATATATTTTTTTTCCTAAAAGAGTTCAGGTAAATGCTTTACTAAACAAAATCCTTATAAGATTTAGGCAGATAAAAAGCTTTAATTAATACTTTCAAGTTAAGTAATTGCTTATATGATTGTCTTGTACTCTTGAATTTGTGTTTATTTTGAGTATAATGAAGCTTGTTTTAGACATTATTTAATTAAATGCTTTAATCTAAATGTCGTATGCTTCATTTAAATGGGAGCTATTGAAAAATAAATTTTCTAAGAGTTGTAGATGAAAATATATTTTGAAGTCCTTGTATGAAATTCTTAATAGATGAATGGCATTACTAGAATCTATGTGATGGAAATCATATTTAATTCAAATTAGGGTTTATTTTATAAGATTTAATTCAACTATTTGATTTAGTATTTAGATTTTATTTATTTTGAATAAAATAAAATATGTAAGTAGATCTAGATTATCTTCATTAGCTTTTAAGCATTCTCAAATAAAATATGATATCTAAACTAGTAAGTTATTTTCTAAACTGTATAGGAGCTAAAAGATGGATTTACAGGTTCTCAAAGTAATTGAAAGAGAAAATAAAGAAACCCTTATAGTTAAGGAATTTCTAGAAAATTTACTTGTGTCCAATAATTATATATCATTTATTATATTACAAATTTTAGTGAATGAGGACACAGGATTCTCCAATAAATTTTAGAAATGACTAAGAAAAACAAAGAAAATTAAGGAAAAGAAAGTGAAAGATAGTAAAGACTAACTTGTAAAAGTTCTTGGTTCAAACGAAGTAATACCATAAGCTATCAAGTGGATTGAGAAGAGTCCTTGTCATAATAAAATCATTCAAGTAATACTCCTAGGGTATCAAAATAATACTTTAAGAAGGATAAGTACAAATTTATGGATGATGAATATTTATTAATATTTATTCAAGTCTAATGGGTTATTTTGTGGGAATTGAAATTTACCATGTATTTACACAAGGAAACAGAAATAACCAATATAAGATATAAAGTTAAAGAGACCTATTTCCCACTAATATTTCATTGGAGAAATAAAAAAAAATAGTAAGTCAAGAATTAGTGGAAACTTGATAACAAAATTATAGATAAAGAAAAGAATAAGTGAATACTTGAGAGAGAGAGAGAGGTGAGATCCAGAAGGATAATACTGCGTTTTTCTCTCCCACTTCATGTCTTCTTGCCGTTAACAAGACAAAGTAATGGTTTAAGTATTATTAAATTAATCTTAGTTGGATTATAGGTATCACCAAGTTACTTTAGCCTTGGTTACAAAATGGCAATAGGTAAGATTATAAGAGAAGAAACTATTGTAGGTGGCAAGCATGTGACATTCAGTTTGGTCCTCCTCTCCCAATTTTAACCAAGTGACCGAACAAGTTAATCAAAGAATTGAAAAGGTGAAAAGAATGTAAAGCAAATAAAAATAATAATAATAACAACAACAACAACAATAACGACAATAATAACAACAACAAGAAATGAAAAGAAATGATGTGCCACTAAATGGATATGAGATCACAAACTTATGTCTTTATTTATATATTCGTTTCCTTTCCACGTTAATCTTGCCTTTCAATGCAATTAGATTAGGTGGCATTCAATCATATTAGAAAGCTTGGTGATTTGGTTAGGTAGCAGAAATTTACAATAGCAACTCAGGTTTAGGTGCCATTTTCTTATTAAATCCACCGAGCCGTTTCTTTTAATCTTAGTCCAGCTATATTCAATCTTCACTGAGTCATCCGGTTATTGAACTTGAGTAAAGCAAATGGGCAA